GGTGTGTGCGGTTGAGGAGAGGGGAAATGAAGTGAAAATAAGCCTCATCTATATATAGATAATGGGTGTGCGGCCACACACTCGGGTGTGCGGCCACACACTCATGTGTTCGGCCACACACTCGGGTGTGCGCCCACACACTCATGAGTGCGGCCACACACTCGGGTGTGCGGCCACACACTCATGTGTGTGGCCACACACTCCTCTTGATGGAGCGTTTGGCCTTTTTGCAACCCTAAATCTTAAACCAACCCATCCCTAATTCAAACTTTGGTTGTATAAGGCTTTAGATCATCCAAACAGGCTCAAAACAATGCTAAAAGATAGTTGAAACGAGTTTATCATTGATAGTATTGAATAGTTTAACAAGGTAGAAGTTCCGGGGTGTCACACTCTTTACTTATACATATATAATATGTTAAACCTTTAAATGTTATATAGTATAAGGTGTATTTTATACTTTTAAAATACTAGGTGGTCTAATTTAATAAATTATACTTTTAATTTAATTAAATATAAACTATATCATTATGAATTTATTAACTCTCTTTTAATTATACACTTAATTAATTTAATAAAACCATAAGGGTGGAATTTGAACTATTCAAATACTAGGGTTTTGAGAATTTAACATTTCAAAATTAAAACTTTTAATCAAAATTTTAAATTCCAAAACTTGAGGACAAATTTTGAATTTTTTTAAAACTTAGGGATTAGAATTTTAATATTCCAAAATTAAACTTTTAATCAAAAAAAAATTAATTCTAAAACTTGAGGGCAAGTTTTGAAACTTTTCAAAACTTCCTAGATCAAATTACAAATAATTCAATTAATCAAATACTTAGTGATTATCTAAATTTGACCTAATTAAATTTCCTTACAAATCAAAACTACAAATAATTAATCTTTATCCTATAAACCAAGTAATTATCTTAATTTTGACCATTATCTACTATTTGGATTAGGATAATCAATACCATAATGGAAAAATCGGATTTTATCTGGAAAAACAATTTATGGTAATTATCCACATCAAAATATGGCAAAAATTTCGAGATTAGCTGTCAGAACTGAGCTCACGTCGTGAGCACTGTGCTCACGTCGTGAGCCTGGTCAGAACAAAAAAAAGACGAAAATTTTCCATCTTTGAATGATCAAATATAGCATCAAATACATTAGATAAACAACCTAGGCTCTGATACCACTGATGGGCTTTGAGCACTACATCATTCCTATGGTGTACATGCAAACCCTAAAGCTTTGGATCTAGTTTGTCTAATGAACATGCAATAATCATCCAAAGTTCATAAACCCTAGATCTAACATATGTATATCGAAATTAACATGTAAGAACAGATCTAGATGAATACCTCTTATAGAATGGCTTGAATATTGTTTCCTTGGAGCTTAGAGTCACAAATGTCACTCCTCTAATGGTTTACAAACACCAAGAGCAAGAGGATGGCTTATGAGAAGGACGAGGAGCCCCAAAAACGTCCTAGGGTTCTTCCAAAAGAGTTAGCCACGTTTTTGGGGCCATAAGGGTCTTTATATAGTGAGGCTATTAGGGTTATCAAACAAGGAAACCCTAATTTGATTGTTTAGGATCCAATCAACCCATAGACTCCTTTAGAACACCCCTTGGACGAATTCATTATGGGCTTCCCATAGAATTCGTCCAACCTATGTTCCAAGGTGATCCATAGCCCAATCGCAATTATCTTATAATTACAATTCTAGTCCCCCTAAGTTTAATTAATGTCTTTTAGTCACAAAACTAATTATTAATGTCTTTTAGTCACAAAACTAATTCTTAATTAATTCTTGACTAATATTAATTAAACAATATGATTTCTCCTTTAATATATTAATCATATAATATATTAATAAATCATAATTAATCCTCTTTCTCCATAAATCATCCTATCAAGTTGCTTTGGTGAAGGCAACCCAAAAGGACCATGCACAACCGGGTCAAATACTTACCAAATATAGTTACGGGCTTAGACACTAATCCAACAAGATAATGGTCCGACATTGGTGCCTTCGACCTATTGATATAGTGAGAAGACTCACCTCAGACTGATGATAAAAATACTGCTCGACTACCGGTAGGGGTGGCAATTTATGACACGACACGACAAAAATACACGACACGAAACAAAATTGGGACGAAACTGAAATTTGAATTTGTGTTTGTTTTAACCGTAAAAAACACGATGTCATGTCGTGTAGTGTTCGTGTTCAAAATTCGACACGAAATTGACACGATTTAGCAGTTCTTTATTGTGTTTTTTGTGTTTGTCGTGTTATATTTGATAAAATTATTCATTAAATAAACTAGTTTTTAGTATATGTTATATTTTTTGTGTCGTGTCGTGTTTATCGTTTTTTAATTCGTTCGTTTTCGTGTTAGTTAAAAAAACACGACATCGTGTCGTATCGTGTTCGTTTTACATAAAACTTTATCGTGTCGTGTTGTGTTAGACAGAAACACGAAACGATAGCACGATTTGCCACCCCTAGCTACCGGTCTGAATATCTCACACGGAATATACACAAGTTAACCTAATTAGAATTGAGTCACAAACTCAAGGCATAGGCCAAAACCCTAAGTCCAAACTCCTCCAATAAGGTCTAAAAGTCTTTCTCCTTTAATGGGCCTAATATCCAAGGTCCAAAACAATAATGGGCCACAAGGCCTAAAAGGCCCAACCATGCCACTTATGGTCCAACAACAAGTTCAAAGACCCAAATACTCTAATAGATCCAGGCCCAAATGGCTCAAAAGCCCAACGAAAGCCCAAAAACTCACTGGAAGCGTACGCCCATCGTACATCATCAGTACGCTTAGCGTACTGGGTTCTTTGGCGGAACGCTCAGCGTACAAACTAGTACGCCCATCGTACAAGCTGTTTTGCACAAAAAGTCATTAAGTGCTTAATCCATGCATCCATTTCGTCCAATTCCAGATCTTGGTCATTTTAAAGGTCATAGGGCATAAAGTTAGCAACTTTATGCATTTGCATGCCATATGGGAACCCAACACCTCATTTTATCCATTAAGACTCCCTTTAAGATCTTAAACTCATGCATGGTGCCATAACAACCATCAAGTTAGTATTTTTATGCTTTTAATATGCCAAAGGAACTCAGATCTAACATTTCTAACCTATGGAGTTGCTTATACTCACAAGAGAGGATCCATGGACCAAAAATGGACTTATTACTAGGGCTGTAAACGAACTGAACGTTCAACGAACTGTTCGTGAACCGTTCGGCGGGAAGTTCGTTTATGTTCGTTTATTTAATAAACGAACGAACATGAACACAAATTATCATTCGTTTAGTTAAACGAACGAACATAACAATGGTCTCGTTCGTTCAATTATGTTCGTGAACGTTCGTTTATGTTTTTCATTTACGTTCGTTCATATAAGTTCATTTTATGTTCACATATGCTTAATTGTGTTTGATTACATTAGTCTATTATATGTTCATTTATGTTCATATATCTTCAATTATGTTTTTCTTTATCTTTGTTCATTTATGTTCGTTTGTTTATGATCGTTTAGCATGTTCACGAACATAAACGAACGAACATGAACAAGGAAACTCGTTCGTTTATCCGTTCGTGTTCGTTTATTTGTTCGGCTAACTTAAACGAACGAACATGAACAAGCTTCGTTTGTGTTCGTTCGGTTCGTTTACAGCCCTACTTATTACCAAACCCTAACTCAAACTAGCAAAAGGATAAGCAAGGTCTGTACTTTTTACCTCCAAAAGTTCACAAGATGAAGTAGATGCGGGATCTAGAAGCTCAACCACGTCCAAGACTTGATCACCACCTTCTCCTTCTTGAAAACACGCTAAAATGGCCACCAAAATCACTTTTAAGCTCAAGAATCACAATCACTTGCAAACTAGGGTTTAGGGACGATAAGAGGCTATGGAGGCTGTTTAGGGTTAGGTCCACATGGCATAAGAGTGTTTAAATAGGGTTCATGCCCTAAAATTAGGGTTTTTGTCCTAGGCCACGTACGCCTTGCGTACGTGGTGCATGTCCGCGTCCAAACCACCCTAGTACGCTAAACATACACATATGTACACCCAACGTACGTAGGGACCTCCTTTGCAAATACGTTTCAATCCAAGGGTTAAAAGGGTAAATACATGCATTCCAAATGTTACATAGCGACTTCTTTTTAATACTTTTTAAATCCATTATTACCGCCGTAATGGGCGCCAGATAAAAAATCCTAGTTTTCCACAATAAACGTATTTGCTAGTTACTAGATGTATCAAACTAGTAATTAAGTTAGCACGTTGCCATGAGTTTTTACGTGTTTTTGTTGCGTATTGAAAAAGTAGATGATGAAAAATCATATTATATTACTATGAGGATGGAGGATAAACACGAAATTTTAGAAAACAAAATAATAACATAAATTAAATTTTGTTGTTTAATTTAAAAATAATTGTTGAAAAATAAATTTATTAATTATTTTCTAAATAATTGGTTTTATGTTGAATAATAGAATTAATTTAAATAGAGTATAATATTAATAAAAACTGAAATAACAAAGTGTGGATTCGTTTTTAACGTAATTTCTTTTTCCTACATAATAAAACTTGGTTATCATCGTACAACGAGTGTGATGGGAAACAGACAACAAGCTGCGACACTAAGCCTTTTTGTATGATAAAGTCAATTCTTTTGAAGACTATATCCATAGATCTATGGATATAACATTGTTATGCATGATCCGCTATATTCTATTAAAAAACTCCACCGCATCCGAGGCTAGAGGTCACGATGGTTCACTTTTGACAGACATCGAGTTGTACATTGTGCATTACAAATTATATTTTTAGCTACACTAAATATGTGAAAGACTATGTAAGTTGCTTTTGTATATATTTATAATTCAGGGGGCGATAATGCAACTTATAAAAATTATATGTCCTCGATGTGAAAATATTTCATCCGCACCGATTCATTTCAACAGGTTGTGTTTAAAGACGCCTTCTCTCTCGCATAAAAATCACTCACAAATTTCTCGAGCACGAAGAACAGAAGAGATGGGGAAAGGTCCAGGTCTCTACCCCGATATCGGGAAAAAAGCCAGAGGTAACAAACAAACAAACAAAAGAACACTCATCGATTCAATTTTTCCCTTCGTTTTGTTTTGTTTTAATTTTACGCGTCGATTTACTTGTTTCCATTTCTGCGTTAGTTTTCTAATTGATTGATACTGTTGCGTATGATTCTTTCGATAATCATTTAAAAAAATTAAACGGCTTTTTTTTTTTTTTTGCTTCGCGTCTGTTTGTGTTGTGTGATTGTGAGTGTATTTTTTTTGTCTCTTCTGCTTCAATCGATACTGTTGTTTGTTGCTTTATTGTTTTGAATATGATTGATCTTGATATCATTATCGTTTCGTTTTTGTGTTTTTCAGATCTTCTTTACAGAGATTACCAGGGCGACCATAAGTTTTCTCTCACAACATATACCGCCAACGGAGTTGTCAGTCTTTCTCTTATCTCTATCTTCCTATCTATCTGTCTGCGTGTATTTCTGTATCAAGTATGAACATATGCATTTCTATATTTCACCATGCATATGGTGATTAACAACTTATCTGTATCTAATTTGAGACTGAAGCTACGGTTAGGCCATTGCTGCTCACTCCCCCGTAAATCAAATTTTGTAGGTTAATTGTTGTTAATTATACAGATAATTTAACTGTTAGATTGCTTGTACTCACATTAATTAGCTAACTCATAATCTACAATCTAATTAAATTGTATGATTACGGAAAGAATTCTGTGTTTTTTTATGCTATGTACAAGTTATTCTTTCTGTTTCTTTGATCTACTGTCACGTCCCTCTTCTAACCACTGTGAACATTTTCTACATTCGATACTTTTCTCTCTCTCTAATTTCATCTATATTTCAGTCAATCACCTCATCAGGAGCTAAGAAAGGCGAGCTGTTTTTGGCTGATGTGAACACAAAACTCATCAACAAAAACATCACAACCGATGTCAAAGTGGACACAAACTCTAAGGTAACAACCATGAATAATTACAACTTCACTTGGTTTCTAAACTGCAATTAACATCTTGTTGCATATATGGCAACAACTCAGGTTTTCACCACCATCACCATTGATGAAGCTGCACCTGGACTCAAAACAATCTTCAGCTTTGTTGTTCCTGATCAGAGATCTGGCAAGGTACTTACTGATATTGATACTGTTACTGATACTGACACTGATACTGATACTGGAGTTTGGGTACAGGTGGAACTTCAATACTTGCATGAACATGCAGGAATCAGTACAAGCATCGGTTTGACCGCAAGTCCCATAGTCAACTTCTCTGGTGTGGCTGGAAACAACACGGTTGCATTCGGGACCGATATTTCCTTCGATACTGCTTCCGGAAACTTCACCAAATACAATGCGGGACTCAGTTTCTCAACTTCTGACCTCATTGCATCCTTGACACTGTGAGTTGTTATTTTTTATTTTCTGGATAAATAAATAAATACAAAACAGTTTTTAGTGTTATAATTGGATGGTTATTTATGTATTTATTTATTTATAGGAATGATAAAGGTGACACGCTTACTGCTTCCTACTACCACACTGTGAGTCCATTGACTAATACGGCTGTGGGTGGTGAGTTGACTCATGGGTTTTCGAGTAATGAAAACTCGTTGACTTTTGGGACACATCACTCATTGGACGCGTTGACTACGGTCAAGGCTCGGGTCAATAATTTTGGAATTGCAAGTGGTCTTCTTCAGCATGAATGGCGCCCGAAATCGGTTTTTACTATCTCGGGGGAAGTGGATACAAGGGCTATTGAAAAGAGTGCTAAGGTTGGTTTGGCTCTTGCTTTGAAGCCTTGAATTTTGGAAATGAAGGAACGATTCACCCGAAACAATACATGTGTCTGGTTTTGATGATATTTGATATGTTGGTTTTTGTATGGGTGAAGATAAATAATGTAGGTAGGTAGATAGGTCACTTTTGAAAACTTTTTTTTTTTTTTTTTTTTTTTTTTTTTTTTTTTTTGGGTGGGGGACTATGCCAAAGTGATTTAGCAAAGATAAAGGTGCTTGTTGGTAAAATCCGTTTTACAAAATTGAAGATTATTTTGTGAATCTATCCTAACTCTAAAGTAGTAACTCCCATGCCTCTTGGTGTGGAAACCGATTTCGGGAGAAGGTGGACCAAGACGAAGCATGCGACACAACTGCTCAGTGGCCGAGGTAGACTCTTAGTGAAGATATCAGCGACTTGAAGCTTGGTAGGAACAAACATAGTGACCAATTTTCCTGAAGCAACGAGCTCACGAACAAAATGATAGTCAAGATCAATATGCTTAGCACGCTTATGAGCCACCGGATTCTAGGTAAGAAATAACGCACTTTGATTGTCACAGAGAAGTGTGGGGCGATCGGTGGGCAAGGCATGCAGCTCCTGCAACAGATCCAGATGATCTCGGTAGCCGTATTATCCATGGCTCGATATTCAGACTCACAGCTGGAACGAGAGATAGTAGGCTGCTTCTTCGCACTCCAGGACACAAGATTACCCCCCAGGAATATCGAGTATTCATAGGTGGAGCGGCGAGTCTCAAGGCAACGAGCCCAGTCGGCATCAGAGTAGCCAACAAGCTTAATAGTCGGAGGCCGTGAGAAAGTGAGACCAAACGAGAGGGTTCCCTTGACATAGCGAATAAGTCGTTTAACAGCTTGAAAATGAGCAATCGTTGGGGCGGCAAGAAATTGGCTAACTTGATTAACAGCGTAAGAAATATCGGGCCTCGTAATCGTCAAATATTGAAGGGCACCAACCAAGGAACGATAGTGAGTCGGATCGTTATAAAGAGGGCCACCACTAACAAGGGAGGCGTTGGTAGCAAGAGGGGTAGGCATGGGCTTGGCATTGAGAAGACCGGCGCGCGTGATGATGTCGTGAGCATACTTGGCTTGGCTGAGAAACAAGCCTGTGGGATGATGAGTAGCCTCAAGCCCAAGAAAATAGTTCAAACGCCCAAGATCCTTAATGCGAAACTCGGCGTGTAGTCGAGAAATGAAAGATGACACAACAACATCATCTGAGCCAGTAACAATCAAATCATCAACATACACTAACAGATACATGATACACGAGTCTCGGCGAAACACAAAAAGAAAGGGATCCGCATGACTGCAGAAAAAACCATGTTTCACTAAAAACGAGCTGAGTCGATGAAACCACGCACGTGGAGCCTGCTTAAGACCATAGATAGCTTTATTTAGCTTGCAAACATAATCAGGATGACAAGCATCCGCAAAGCCTGGAGGTTGATTCATAAAGACAGTGTCACCCAAACAATGGCGGAGGGAGTACAGGGGCGGAGGGAGTACAGGGGCAAGCAGGTGCTTTGCCCCCCTCAACATTTATAATTTAGATACATTATTCCCTTCAACTTTTCCAATTTAATACATTACTCCCTTTAACTTTTCCAATTTATATGCATTACTCCCCTTGACTAAATTCATAAATATTATTTTGATTTTCATAATAACAAGGGTTGAATGTTGCATATCCTTTATCAACATAGACTAGATTTACCTAAAAATAAAAGATTTACCGTTGAAATAATTGCTTTTTGAGAGCTAACATTTCTTATACCATTTTTACTGTTTTGTTAACACATTGATAATAAATAATAAGAAGTTGATGATATTAAGTTATAAAATCATATTTTATAAAACATTTATTTAATAATCTATATATTTTTGTGTTTTCTTGTTATGTAAGTCATATTTATCGGATGATAAGTTGTGATTTATTTATTTTATTGACTTTGTTAGGATGATAATTTTTTATAACTTTTTTGTTAGTTTTAATGTTTATTATTGATAAAATAGTTAATTATTACTTTTAGGTTTATTTTTAATTTTTATATTGCTTTTTATCATTAAAATTTTTGATTTGGACACGGTCAGTATGCATATATTATTTTTTTTAGATATTCAAAGTATGTATTAATTTTTATCTCAAATTTTCCTTTAAATTATTGATTATATTACGTTATCCCCGGTAATAAAATATTTGTTAACCTTATTATGATGTAAGCCCCATTTATGGTAAAATTCTGGCTCCGCCCCTGCACCCAAATGGCCGTGGAGAAAAGCATTATTGACATCAAGTTGACGCAAATGCCATCCGTTAATAGTCGCAAGAGTGAGAACAATACGAACGGTAGCCGCCTTGACAACAAGACTGAAGGTGTGAGAATAATCAAGTCCCGACACTTGACTGAACCCTTGAGCGACGAGACGAGCCTTGTGACGCTCTACAGTCCCATCAGCCCGATATTTAGTGCGAAACAACCACCTGCAACCCACAATATTAGTCTGGGAAGGTCGTGGAACAAGAGTCCATGTCTGATTTTATGATGAAGAGCCGTCATCTCGGAACACATTGCGTCACGCCATTTAGGATCACGTAAGGCAGTGGTAAGGGACGAGGGAATGTCAACAGAAAAAACCTGCGAAAACAAACCATGAGAGGTTAAATGTGCCAAATCAGTACGGTAGCGTGGCTTAAAAATCCCGGCTTTGGCACGCGTGGTCATCGGGTGCGCAGGCGGGGGTGGACGAGGGGGCGGAGGCGAAGCAGGCTTGGAACCAGACAACGAGCCAGACTCGGAGACGGTTTCAGCAGCAGGATCAATGGTTGGTTCGGAGTCAGAACCGGAAGGCGACTCGAGTTCGGGACCTGGGGAAGCAACAACAGGGGACTCATATGCAGGAGATGCAACCGAGGGAGCCAGAGAATCGGGCTCCGTACACACAGCGCAAGGAGCAGGGGTGGCGGGTCCTGATGGAGCACATGGAGAAGCCGAGGCTGCGTCATCGGGGACGGGAACGGTGGGGAGCTGATCACCAAGGAATGTATGTAAGGGTAAAGACCCAATAGGAGCATTTGTGTGGGTGGCACGAAACGGGAAGCACTCTTCATCAAACCGGGCATGGCGGGTAACAAAAACCCGTGTCGAAACCGGATCGAGACAAAAGTAGCCTTTATAATGAGCGTGATAACCTACAAAAACACAAGGGATGCTCCGCGGAGAAAGTTTATGATCCGCATAGTCACGCAAATACGGATAGACGCGACACCCAAAAATGCGAAAATTTTCATAAGATGGCACCCGTCCGAACAAGACCTCAAATGGTGACTTCATGGACAACACCTTTGTGAGGAGACGATTAATAACATACACGGCGGAGCTAAAAGCATGAGCCCAATAAGAAACCGGAATGTGAGCATGAAACATCATGGCGAGTCCCGTCTCCACAATGTGACGATGTTTGCGTTCAACCCGCCCATTTTGTTGGGGGTGTACGGGCATGAGATGCGGTGAAATATACCATGTTTATGCAATAACGCCTTTACTTTGTTATTTAGAAATTCCGTACCCCCGTCACTTTGAAATTTTTTAATTTTGGTAGAGAATTGAGTCTCTACAAAGGCGATAAATAACTTGAAAATGCTAAAAAAATCTGATTTAGACTTGAGCGGGTAAAGCCATGTAAAGCGAGAGAAATCGTCCATAAAGGTGACATAATAACAGTATGAAGCAACCGAATCAATCGGGGAAGGACCCCAAAGATCACAATGGATCAAATCTAAAACATGGGCGACACGTTGGTCATTATTGTCAAAAGGCAACCGATGAGACTTAGCAAGTTGGCAAGGAGAACAAGTAACCGGTTTAGGTAAAATAGAAGAAACAAACACATGACCAAGTTTATTTAATATAGAAATAACATCAAAAGACACATGCCCTAAACGGGAGTGCCATAATTCAAAAGACGCCTTTGGTCGCTTCTTAGCATAAAACGCACAAGCCACCGACTTATTTGGAAGAACATAAAGCCCCCGATCACTCGTTCCTTGAGCCAGAATTTGTTTCGTTGCCCGATCCTGAATGTAAAACAAAGATTTGGAGAAAATCACATCCACGTTATTATCGTATGTTAACTTGCTAATAGATAATAATTTTTTAGTAAGACGGGGAACCACCAAAACACCCCGCAACCGAATATCATTGGGAAGAGAGGAAGTCCCAATAGCAGCAATGGGAAGAGTATTACCATTACCGAAGTGAACCGAGCCATCACCAACAAAAGGTTCGGGTTTAGCAACCGAGCCCGAAGAAGAAAACATGTGGTCCGAGGCACCGGAATCAACATACCAATCCGGGTCGGATGGGGTCACACGACATTTTGCAAGAAAAGCTTTTGCCAAATCGGCTTCACTAGGGGCAGACCGAGAAGCAAAGGTCGGAAGTTGAGGACAAGCATTAGCAAAATGACCGCTATGTTGGCATAGTTGGCAGTGGGGTGACCGCCGGCCACGACCACGACCACCGCGAGGACCACCACGACCACCAGAGTCACCACCCCGACCTCGACCAGCAGTGGCAGAGGCAACAGCCCCAATGGGCGCTGATTCAGCAGAGAAAGCGACGACAGGTGTGGAGTTGGCGTGGAGGGATTTCATGAAAAGCTCATGACTTTCGGCTTGAGCAAGGAGGTCCCAAAAAGTTGGAGAAAGACTAGAGGTCCGAACCCCAATGGAGAAAACTTCAAAATCGCTGCCAAGACCACATAGGAACCAATGATTTTTATCAGATTCGGTAACAGCTTGGCCGATAGCTGCCAATTGATCACAAATCGCCTTAAATTTCCGTCCATATTCGGAGACGGTGGAGGTTCCTTTAGAGAGAAGTCGTAGTTGATCACGAAGATTTTGTACACGTTCCATGGAAGAGTTCCCATAGGCGGATTCAAGAGCGGTCCATATCGCACGAGCGAAAGAGAGGCCCACGGCCTCAGAAAATGCTTCTTCCGTGAGAGAGGCTTGAAGAATGATGACTGCCCGTTGATCCGCAACATGCCATTCCGCAAAAGCGGGGTTCTCAACTTGCTTGTTGTCAACCAGAAGGTGGGAAGAAGGGGCTGCAGAGGAGCCATCAACGTGAGCAAGGAGTTGTTGATAGTTAAGGAGGGGAGTCATTTGGTTCACCCACAAGAGATAATTGTTAGAGGAGAGGCGGATGGTAATGAGGTGAAGGAGAGTGTTCATGGATAGAGTAGCATCAGTGGAGGAGCCAGCCATGGATGAAGCTGTGATGGTGACAAGAAAAAACTGAAAGAAAGGAGAAGAAAAGAGGAGAATGATCGGCTAAGAAGAGGGAGAGGAACGGAGGGGTTTTTGGCCTGATACCATGAAATAATGGGTTTCCACACCAAGAGGCATGGGAGTTATCACATATATATAATAAATAAAGATACACATAAGACCCTCAAGTATACAACAATAAAGAAAAGTCTATACAGATACATAACTAGTCTAATAATATGTTCATTTTCGTTTCATATATGAGACGTATTTTGGTCATTTACCACAACTCCAATATATTACGCGTGTCATATAACTTGCATCTTGAAACCAAAAACAAAACCTGGAAAAACGTGAATATGTAATAAATCATTAATTTCACGTGCTTTGAAGATTGGTGAATGGAAGTTTTAGAATATATGTAAAAAATGAGGTTTGGTTATAATAATTATCATTTTTATCTAAATTCAAAAACTCGATTTTGCCCTATAGGTTGGACCGATTAATCATGTTATTCATGTACGTTGTAACCATAACTTAATTATGGGCCAAAAGTTGTTAGATGTGAATCGTGCAATACACTGTAAGCCCAGCCCAGAGTTAAAAAGATATTAAAACACTCTAGAGTAAATTACACGAAGAGAAATTAAATTGTGCCTACAAACAACAAAATGCACTGTAAGCCCAGCCCAGAGTTAAAAAGTTGTCGATATTTTCTATATATCTCTAGTATTATACAATACATTAAACAACATGCCAATACGATCAATTCATCATACTAAATAAACAACAAAATATGATACAATGTTAATAAAAATGTCATCATAAATTACATTCTCCCAAATTGGGATTTTTTTCACAATAAATTTAACACCAATTGTGCCCTTTGTTATTGCTTCTCATTCGGCTTCGGTGAGTCCTTAATAAACTGATGGTGATGAGGCGATGCCCGAGGTATCGACAAGGTCCGTGGCTGTTGCTGCCCGTTTCTTGAAAACGACCCGCCCCGTGCCCGAGACCCATCCGAACCCGACCCGACCCGTTCGGATTGAACCGTTTGAAGGTAATAAGAAGAGCCCGCCATGTCTTTAAGGGCCGGTAATGGTTCAAGACATTCAACCACTTCACTCATTAAGGGCCGGGCTTTTGGGTCACGGCTAAGACAACGGGACGCAAGTTGTGCAGCCTTTTGGGCCCCTTTTATTGAGAAATGGCCTTCTAATCGCGGGTCGATTAACCGGTAAAACCGTCTTCTCTCTAATAAATGTGGGCGGGCCCACTCAACGAGATTGTGTTCCCCGTTTGGACGGTTTTTGTCCATTGACCTTCGCCCGGTCAACATTTCGAGTAAAACAACACCGAAGCTATATACATCACTTCTTATACTCAGATGTCCTAAAAGAGAGACACCAACATAAAACAAAGACAACAATAAGGGCATGTTTTTTATTACATCAAATCAAAATATGATGTGAAATGTTACTTTTTTTTTTTTTTTTTTGTATTGTACAACTATATAACTATTTTACCCTTTTGTGAGTAAATGGATCATTTTAGTTATTTATTTTTTTTGTTTTCTTTATTTTATTTGAAAATAACGATGAATGATAGTAAATGACCATTTTATATTTTTTGTTTATAACTAATGCCATTTTATCTTTTTTTGTTTGTAATTAATGTTGAAGGACAGTAAAAGACCATTTTACCCTTTTAATACTATCTGTCTCTCTGTTAAAGTAAGCAACACATAAAAGGATAAAGACCTGTCATGACGTATTCCGGGGCGGCGTAACCGTAAGTTCCCATAACACGTGTCGATATGTGAGTTTTATCACCCTCCGGGCCATCTTTAGCAAGGCCAAAATCGGAAAGTTTGGCGTTATATTCCTGAATAAAAAACAAATCATTAGAAATAAATTAAAAAAAAAACAATACTCTTATAAGCAAAATTAAAACACAAAGTTTTCTTGTTGCATACCGCATCTAACAAAATGTTGGAGGTTTTAAAATCACGATAAATCACGGGTCTTTTGGCTTCTTCGTGAAGGAAAGCAAGCCCCTTTGCAGCACCAAGAGCAATTTTCATCCTAATAGACCATGGAAGAGGCAATGATCCTACAATAAGAAAAACAAATTAATTAAAGGGTCAAAATCGATAAAATGGTGAAAGCACAAGGGTTTTTCTGTATTTTTCAAAAAGATGAAGGGGCAATAACATACTTCTGAACAAGTGATTCTCCAAGCTCCCACGAGGCAAGAACTCATAAACTAACAACCGTTGATCATCTTCGTTGCAATAACCGATCAATTTAACCAAATTCGGATTCACAAGATCACCTAGGAAATCCACTTCTGCCTGCGAAAAACACCATCTTTTTTCAGATTTTCAGATATAGAATTAAAATGATTCGAATCATTCAATGATATATTTTTGGTATAATTAGATGGAAATAGGAAAATAATAGAATCGAACCAGCCACTCTTTATGACCCTGAAGTCCGTCCTGATTCAGCGTTTTCACGGCGACTGTAAGTCCGGTGCCGGGCTTCACCGGAGCGGTGCCGTTCTCTTCAATCCAACCTTTAAACACACACCCAAAACCACCTTCACCGAGAAGACTTTCGGGTCTGAAATTTCTTGTCGCCATTTTAAGATCATTGAAAGCAAATTTTCGAAGTTGAGAAGCAACTTTGATTGCATCTTCTGGTTTTGGACTCGACAAATTGTTTCCGCCACTGGTGGTCGGAGATACTATCGGAGTCACCACCGTTTGATCTTTGCTTGTATCGTTACCTGATTTACTTTCTGCGATGATAACGATTCCAACGTCAATTATGATAATCTTGTTAAATGAAACCAAAAAAGGAGCAATAATTTACCGAATTGAGAACTGATGCCACTTGTGGAGCTATCGACTTTAGATCTTGAAGAAACACAGCTGCCGAGACCCCCCATTTATTCCAACACCCAACGGAACCTTCATCGTTTTTCCACTTTTTCTTGTTCCCTTTTGATTTCATAACATGTAAAGACTCCAATTTTTTTACAGCTTCTTGATTACTAGATGTCATCGTTTTAATACAAACCCTAAAAACAAACTGGCGGGTAATTGGATATCATCAATAAAACCCAGAAACTGAAAAGATCGGAAGTTATGCAATATTTGTCATTTGAGCAGTTGTTCTTGGTTGAAGATGAAGAAATTAGATGTAAAAATCAAAACCCATTTGAGATGAAAAGTGGAAAATGATGATTGATGACACTCACCTCGAAAAGGAAGAGAAAAAGGGTCTTTGACTTGCATACAACAGAAAATTCCCTCAAAACTCCACCAAAATGGAGGTTTTAAGTGGGAATTGAAAAGGCCAAGTTGAGAATTTTCAAAAAAGATTGCAACTTTTTATAAAATTAATTTTGTAGGAACAAAAAGAGATTCAGATCGCATAAAAAAATGGAAATGGAGATGGAAGACGATAGAGAAAGAGAGACAGAGTGCAAGCTGTATCAGATTCAGATATACTCTTGCGTTCAAAAGCACCCACCACCTAGCAATGTGTATATGTGAAGTACTCAAAATAAAGATTTGAAATCTCACAAAATGGCTGACTTCTTCAACCCCCAAGAAAAAAGAATAAAATCCCTAAAATTCAATCATAGCAGTTAACATGGACCAATTACGCAATTACTGTCGTAATAAAGTTTTGGGAAAATCTCAAAAAAATCATTATAAATATCTAAAAGGATATATCATTTTTTTTTATCTATTATCATATCATGTTATGTTTGATTTTATCTAAATTAATATTTTATGACTATTTTATAGCATTTTGATTTCAATAAAACTATAATACAGAAATGTATTTTTATTCAACTGTCCATTGAAACCAGTATAATAACTTCATAAGTTTGATTGTAGAAATTTTTAAAATCAAAAACATAAAATAGTCACGAAACATTAAGGAAAAAAATGCTTTTAATGAACAAAAATATGACTAAAATGGTTTTAATGATAAAATATATAACGTGATGGTTATTTTAAGCATTAAGATATAATATATTTGGTTTTCTAAGGTTTTTTCTAGAGTTTTTTAATGAACTGATGGTTATGAATTAGATAATTGTTCTATTTTGTTGGTTCTTAAAAGTCAAATCTATATGCTTCTAATTTGATTTACATATATTTGTGTCTGTTGCTAACTTAGTAACTTTGATTTACTTTCCTATGTTTGCCCACATCTACATTCCTTACAACATTAATATGATTTGGAATTTGTTGCTGTTTTCATATATATATATATATATATATATATATATATATATATATATATATATAATATATATATATATATATATATATATATATATCACTGTTGTAAAAATCCCGACTAGGTCCCGATTAATCTCTGATATATCCCTAGGCGCTACTCGACCGATTAGAGGGCGCCTAACGATTAATCTCTGCATACATAATGAGTGAAACATTATAAAACGATGAAATTTTAACATTTTGAAAAAGTTTTATTTCAATGGAAACTACTTGAGACATGATTAGTGTTGTATTAATCATATTAACCTATTTTGTTATCATATTAGTGGTATTACGAAGTTTGATATGATATTAGTCATATTAAATTTTTTAAAATTCAAAAAATTAGCAATTAATGGTCCCCGATTAATCCCCCGAATAATCTCCGCTTAGCCGATTAATCTCTTGACCCCAGTCCACCGACTAACTAACGTCGAGCGTTTTTTACAACCTTGATATATATATATATATATATATATATATATATATATATATATATATATATATATATATATATATATATATAGAAAACCATAATTAACCAAGGAACCAACCTTTTTTCAACTTTTAGAACTTATTTTTTATCAAAAAAAAAAAACTAAAAATACAGAAATTCATAAATTTTTATCCTTTTTCCAATGATATCAAATTCATTTTTTTTTACGTCAAATTCACAATGTGAATCTTTGAAAATTCACAATGTGAATCCGGATTCACACGGTGAATCCGAAAAAATTTTTTCACATTCACCAATGTTAATATATGAATTAGATATTTTTTCTATAAGAATAAGCTCTAGAAATTGAAAAAAAAAATTGGTTCCTTGAAGAACCAATAATTATGGTTCTCTATTGAACTTTTCCCTATTGGTGTTCTCATTTGATCCTACTCCTATATAGGGAAAGAATCAAATGAGAACACCTAAAAGGTTGAGAACGCGAGAACAAGTATATTCATTTGTGATTACATGTATTCATTTGTGGAGAAATGATAAATTTTTACGCTCAATCAACATGAATATGTTTTTTTTTCTTCAATTGAAATTAAAGGCGTAAAAATTTATCATTTCTCCACAAATGAATACATGGAATCACAAATGAATATACTTTGTTCTCGCGTTCTCAACATTTTTAGTGTTCTCATTTGATCTACACCTATATATATAATATATATATTATATATATAATATATATATATCTAATATATATATATATATATATATATTAAATATCTTTGATATAAGTAGTTTTTAATTGAATGTGTTATATATCCATCACAAATATTAATTATATAGTTTTGTAATTAAAATGAAGCCATGAAGGTGAAGCTAAATGTACTCTCTTATTGGGATACAAATTACCTAGTTTTTAATATCTATCGGAAATATTTATTATATATTAATATTATAAACTAAAATAATAAGAATGCTAAATGTTTCTCACATCTATTGTATGCTAGAATGCATCAATATGAATTTAGTATTAATTATATATATATTAAATGTTATCCATACTTATAACTCATTTTTATTGAAACTAATTAAATTCGTCATTAATGTCAACAATAATATTCTTTCAGAATGAATTCATATCTAGAAGAATGAGAGTGTATTCCAGCAGAATGAGAGTGTATTCTAATAGAATACACTCTTGTTCTTCATATTCCATGCAACTTTATTATATTTTAAGTGAGTGAGTCATGAAACAAAATACGAACTCATATATAAAAACCTAGATGCGAATTCATTCTGAAAGAATATTATTGCTGACATTAATGACGGATTTAATTAGTTTTCATAAAAAGAGAATTATAATTATGGATATCGTTTAATATACATATAATTATGGAAATCATTTAATATCTATATTTATTTAATTAAATAAATATTTAATTTACTAAATTTCTATTGGTGCATTTTAGCACACAATAAATGTAAGAAACAAAATAACCGAACCATAGATATAAGATTATATATATATATATATATATATATATAATATATATATATATATATATATATATATATTATATATATTAAATAATAAATATTATTAATTGAAATTTAATATTTTAGTTTTAATTATAATAAATTTACTTTATTTTATAGTTTCATTGTATAAATTATAAATATATTATTATTATTTATAGTTGATTTCGTTAATAATAATAATAATAATAATAATAATAATAATTGTTTATTATTATTATAGCTTACTTTTGGTATCATGTTTAGTTTGAACATATAAAATGCAAACTTTGTCTCGTCCATTTGACAAAGTAAAACTAATTCTAACAGTGTATTTTTGATTTTATAAATTGATAGATGTTGAAATAGGATAAGTGGAACATATTTAAAAATAAAAAGAGGTACATATAATATTACTTTAGAAATACTAAATGGAGTGTTGTTGCCCATATGACAGGAACAGGAGCTGAAATTTCCAATTATACCCTCGACTACGAAGGGTAATACAGGTGGCCAGGAAGGAGTTGATTGGAACAGCATAAAACAAAGCATAAAACAAAGCGGTCAGTATCGTGAGAGGAAGTGGGAAAAGCGGGCAGTCTGGGCAGGAGATAGAAAGAGAGAGCTTGAAAATTATTGCTGCATACTTGGTGACGTGTTGTTTTGTGACGTCATATGCTATCATGCTCAGTATATACTTTTTCAATATATTGTTCTCTCCTCTTGGCATTATTATAACTTCATTTAACGGTAAAATCATATATGTCTATTTACCTTGTTTTTTAATCTATTTAGTTATTTTCTTAGAATATCAAAAAAAAAAAAAAAAAACATCCATTTAGTCATATTTATAAGACAAAACTTCATAAATAGTCCCTGTGGTTTCATAAAATCTGAAATTTAGTCTTTAAGTTCAAAAAACCTCACAGATGGTCCCTATGGTTTCAAAATTTTTAACAAATGGTTCTTTCAGTTGACGCCGTCATCTTTTGACCACCGTTAGTAGAAGGACATTTATGTCATTTCACAAAACATGGACTATTTATGAAGTTTTTTGTTATTTAAAAAAAAGATAAAAGAAAGTATAATTATTTAATATATAAAAGAAAATATAATTGTCGGTTATGCTTCGGTTTTGGTTTTATCGGTTTCGGTTTCGTCGGTTTTAGTCGGTTTCTCGGTTTCTTGGTTTGGGTTTGCTCACCCCTATCGGATACACCCGATCTTCTCAAAACTGCGTCACATATCCGACTTGCGATATGGTCTTCACCTAGGCCACCGAACCAAAAGAACAGTTGAGTCTCGAACATTCCATTGTTGTAAGACAAAAATGATTCACAACGAATCGAATAATACCCCCCCCCCTCGCGACAAAAATTGATGTTGTTGGAGCATGTAAATGCTCTACAATGATGAGTGATTTCTTTTGGTAGAATATTCTCTTGTATGAGAGTATATTTCATCCACTAGTATATAAAGTGGAGGTGAGTGGTCATTTATGTATGGATGCACTTATGTAGACTTTAGACTAGAGAAACTTTGGATGGGGTCTCTCCCCATCCATGAGTGTTCTTCATATAATATGTTGTTTTTCTCTATCTATTCATCACAGTTTACTCACATATTTTGTTCATCATTGTTTATACAATTATCTTCATTCAAATTTGTTTTGTCCAAACAATTTTTTGTTTACCCATTTTTTCTAAAACCAATTCAATTTTTTTTATACCCAATTAATTTTTTTTACCTTTATCCATTTTTTTTAAAACCAATTAATTCCTTATTTTTTTTTAAAACCCATTATTTTTTAATACCAATGATTTTTTTAACACCAATTTTAGCCTTATGGTTTAAAGCTTCATTTTTCTTGCTGATTACGAGTGAAGACACAATTATTTCAGAGATTATTGTTTGTGTGTTCTTCCTCCTACTGAGCGACTCGCATTTGCAGCCTCCGATTTTTATGCTTTAGAGATTCGGATTTGTAACATCCCGTTTGAAATAGAGTAATTAAATAATAAACCTGGAAATCCAAGATGTAAATTTATATTTTATATTATTTTATAATAGCCCTAAAATCCATAATATTTAGCGGGGTGTTGGTTTCGGGGAGCCAAACGATATAATTGGACTTTCAGGGGTTAAAGTGTAATTCCGGGATTTATTTTGTAAAGATTTTCAGAAGTCAGGGGGTGTTTGGTGATTATTAGACTTAGATTGAAAGGATTTTGGAATGTTGAGGGTAAAATGGTAACTTCTGAGATTTGAATTGTTGTGAATCTTGGATGTTGGGGGATGCTTTGTAAATTGTAGCCTT